GGGGGACTCCCCAGCTAGGATAGAGGTTCCGCTGCTGTGCCTTGGACATGGGATGCTGGAATTCTGGATTTGTTTGTCAAAGAAAGAGGATTTGACATTTCTAGAGGATGGGGAAAATGGACCTTTGTAGAAACAGAGAATGTGCTTTGTTAAAGAGTCATGACTCTTATCCTAACAAAGATATTTGGTCTTTTCAATGAAAACAAAACCAACAAACGAGCAGAGCCATAAGCCAGAGAAAGCAGCTGGCTTATGGCTGCTCATTTCTGAGGAGCTGCCCTAGTGCCCAGAGTGGCGAAAGGATAAAAGTCAATGTGATCTTTCCAAACATGAAGGGGGACTTGGCAAGTTCCTCTGTGTGTTGGCGATTAAAGTTCTGTCGTTATTTAGTGTATGGTCCAGTTTAGAATACAGAACACCTGCCTTGTCATCCATAAAATAGTACCACAAAGGATAAAATTCTACTCCATACAGGTACCTGTAGTCTCAGTGACTTGAGATCCATCCAGAGGCAGGTGGATCGCTTGAGCCCAGGAGGTCAAGGGTGCAGTACATGGGGATTGTGCCTGTGAATAGCCTCTTGTACTCTAGCTTGGGCATCACTGCAAGATCCCATTTGTAAAAATAAATGTTAAATATTCCATTTCTACGCAAATAAGATGTGGACATTTTGTAAGATTTTGAAAATTCCTAGATAGTGTGAACTTAAGGGTATGAGAGATCCGTTAAAAAATACAGGATGTATTGGCTGGATGCCATGGCTCACACTTGTAATCTCAGCACTTTAGGATACCGAGGCAGGCAGCCTCACTTGAGGCCAAGAGTTCAAGATCAACCTGGCCAATGTGGCAAAACCACATCACTACTAAAAAATACAAAAATTAGTCTGGTGTGGTGGCACATGCCTGTAATCCCAGCTTCTCGGGAGGTTAAGGCACGAGAATCGCTTGAACCCAGGAGACGGAAGTTGCAGTCAGCAGAGATGGAGCCACTGCACTACACAGCCTGGGTGACAGAGCAAGACTCTGTCTCAAAAAAAAAAAAAAAGATACATGATGTATCAAGCTGCTATTTCAAACTCACTTCTGGTTTTGAATATGTGTATTATGAATTTTAGTGGATTGAGAAAGTACATGAGGGAGAAAGGGGAGTAACAGCAAAGAAAATTCCAACATAGGCAAGATTGGATAGCAAAACACTGGCAGTGGTTTCTGAATGCTAAGTTAGTGGGTGAGTTATTTTTTTTCTTGGATCTGTGCAAAATGGAGCAAACTCCTGATCCAGCTTGCCCACTGCTTTGGGGCTTTTGCTTTTCTTTGAAAAGGTAAGAAAATAAAACTGAGGTATCTTGCTCAATTCTAGTTCCTGTCCAATTATCTGATTTAAAAAATATATACATTTTGAGATAATTGTACCTTAAGATGTAGTTGTAAGAAATAATATAGAGAGATCCCATATATTCTTTATCCAATCTGCCGTGGTAGCATCTTGCAAACTTATAGCACAATGTCACAACCAGAATATGATGTCCATGCAATCAAGGCTCAGAACATTTCCATCACCACAAAAACATTTGTGTTGCCTTTTATAATCATACTCATTTCCCTCCAGCCCTCACCCTCTCCTCTTAGATTAGGCAACCACTAATCTGTGCTCCATTTCTATAGCTTTCCCATTTTAAAAATGTTAGATAAATGGACTTAGGCAGTATATAGCTTTTGGGGACTTTCTTTTTTCACGCAACCTAATTCTCTGGAGATTCATTCCGGTTGTTACTTTCTGTCAATAGTTGGTTCCTTCTTATTGCTGGGTAGTGTTCTGAAGTTTGGATGTAGCACAGTTTGTTTAACCATTAACCTGTTGAAAGATATCTGGGTGGTTTCCAGTTTGGGGCTACTAAGTATAAAGCTGCTATACACAAGTTTTCATTTCTCTGGGGTATATGCCAAAGTGAGCAATTGCTGGGTGATATGGTAGTCGCATGTTTAACTTTTAAAACTACAAAACTGTTTTCCACAGTAGCTCTACCATTTTACATTCTCACAAGCAATATATGAGTAATCTAGTTTCTTCAAACCCTCGCCAACATTTGGTGTTGTCGCTATTTTTTATTTTAGCCATTCTGATAGGTATGTTGTGATGTCTCATGTAGTTTTAATTTTCTTTTATCTATAGGCTCATAATGTTGCATATCATTTAATATTATTTGCTCTCTATATATCCTCTTCAGTTAAATGTCTGTTCATATCTTTTTCCCATTTTCCAACTAAGTTGGTTTATTTGGTTGCATTTTGAGAGTTTTTTATTTTAGACACTAGTTCTTTGTCAGATATTGGGCTTGCAAATATTTTCTCCTAGTTTATATCTTGTATTTATATCCTCTTCACATGGGCAAAAGTTTTTAACTTTGATGAAGTCCAGTTTACCAATGTTTCCTCTTACAGCTTGTGTTTTTGGTGTCAAGGTTGAGAACACTTTGCCAGCCCCAGTCCTAAAGATTTTCTCCTGTTTTTTGTTTTTTCTACAAGTTTTGTAGTCTTACATTTTGCATTTATGCCATGATCCATTTTCAGTTTGTTTTTATGTAAAGTGTGAGACTTGCAGACACTAAGAGCTCTACTCCTGCCAAACACAACAGGAGCAAGCTTTGCCTCACTCCTATCCCCACTAGCAAAGGCTGGATGGGAAGGCTAGACCTCTATCCTTGCAAGACTGGACCTTCTTGAGCACCTACCATATGCTAGGTCCTGGACTTATGACGGTGGAGTGAAGGCTCTCCAGGTATTTCTAATCTACGTCAAATGACTGCTATTAAGGTATTTTAGTGTGGACACACAGATGAAAGAGAAAGGAGTTAGTTACTGGTCTGCCAGACTCAATTAAAAATCTATCCCTTTCTAGCTGCCTGATACTGGGCAAATTGCCCCACTACTCTGAGCCTCAGTTTCTTCATTTACAATAAGACAGTTTTGAGGATTAAATTAGATAAAATATGTGAAATGACTGGTGCATAAGGTGTTCAATAAATAATGTCATTCTCCAAACTGATCCATTGTGGATGCTGAAAAATTAGCAATGGACCATTGTCAGAAAATAGAAAAAGGCCAGTTGTATACAGACAATTCTGAATTTTCTAAGGGCTACTTATCTGCTTTATAGATAAACTAGAAACCTTACATTCCTGCTTCATAGCTTGGTGGCCAGTGGCTTGCACAGCTACTAGGTACAATTAAATAAAGTAGATAAATGAAAATTTTATTCTGATTCAGTTCAAATTTCTGGAAAATTGAAGGACTTAAGAATAGAAACTGACATGGATGGGAACCAATATTGTTAAAATCTGAATTTTAGGTTTATCAACTATCATTAAATTATAGAAAGATATAAAGTAATCATAAAATTAAATTCTGCTGCAAAATATGTAAGGAAATTCAACTTATTGTATCTGAAGGAAAAAACTTAGATTGTAGTCAATATACCTAAATTTAGTTATTGATACTATTTAGGTACACTATTCATGTTAAGTTTTCTGATTTTTAAACAAGCCCAAGTTTATTAATTATTTTTGAAATCCTTCACTGAGTAGTATAACAATTCAGCTGTCACCTTTACTTTTATTCTCTTGACACTTGCCATTTTGTTCTTTGCCTTTTTTTAACCATCTCCTTTTTCCCTTAGAGAAAAACTATAAAATATCTACCTCCTCCCTTTTAATTAAAAAAAAAAAAAAAGAATTCTAACAGCAGCATCTCCAGAACTATGTCTGGGGATAATCACATCGTGTTGGATCTATCACAAATATTTTATTTTTACGCAATTGATTTTAAGCTAAATAAACACCTAAGTCTTTTCTGAAATGGTCATAGAAAACACAGAAGAGCAATGTAGGGCTTAGGTGGAAAGTGGGGAAGAGAGTTAAGACTCACACGTATATGCATGTCAGGTGATTTATAGCAGCATTCCATTGAACCATAGCAACCTCCTCCGTAACCATTCATTCCCCAAACACCGGACTCTCAAAGCAAACTCAAAGCTCATGCATTTCTCAGCCTCCAGAATTGGATTTGTCCCTCATCTGTTTCCTGTCTTACTGCCTCATTTAGTCAAAGCATGTTTTGAAAATAAATAGCTAATTCATATAAAGAAAGTAAATTGGCCGGGCACGGTGGTTTACGCCTGTAATCCCAGCACATTGGAAGGCCAAGGCAGGCGGATCACGAGGTCAGGAGATCCAGACCATCCTGGCTAACACACGGTGAAAATCCGTCTCTACTAAAAATACAAAAAAATTAGCTGGGCCTGGTGTCAGGCGCCTGTAGTCCCAGCTACTCGGGAGGCGGAGGCAGGAGAATGGCATAAACCCGGGAGGCGCAGCTTGCAGCGAGCCGAGATCGCGCCACTGCACTCCAGCCTGGGCGATGGAGCGAGACTGAGTCTCAAAAAGGAAAGTAAATTACTAAATTACTGCTTATTGATACGTACACTTTTAAAGTCGTTTATAATGCTTATCCTGTCGAAATTAAAAATCTTTTTGACTAGAAAAAGGCTGTGTTGATACTAGATATAAAACCTGGATAAACCTAAGTTTGGGGAATTCAGTACTTTAATTGATGTTGGTATTTGATACCCCACTAGAGGCACTGCTTCTTGGGGTTATCTGCCAACATGATTCCCATCACATCAGACTATCAGGCAAGGGGAAAAATAAAAGAAAAATTATTTTCATAGGAGTGACATTATACTAAGTTTTTATCAACTATTAATCAATGTGAGAACTGATCTAATAATAGAGATTGAGAGTATAATTCTATTATCTGGCTGACTTAATCTCTTTCATATGGTAAGATCGATTGACTTTTGGATATTTGGCGTGTATTTTTTCTTTAATTTTTTTCCATTGCTGGCCACACCCACTGAACTAAATTATAACTCTTTGCTTCCGTATTTTCATGATATTAAATGCTTGCACTCTCTTTTTCCTTCCATTTTTACTATTCCAGTGTCCTGTTTCCCAGAGGAACAGTTCATTTCCACAGACAGGGAGAAAGCCTGGATGCTCAAGGTAAGGTTTATATAAATTATGTTGCATGACTCCTTACTCAAAAATCAATTTAAAGTGAGTAGTAATATTGTCCTTGTAACAAATTTATTTTCAAAATTCCAGTATACAATTAAAGCCAATATTTGAGTAAATACACTCTTTTAAAACACTATTTTTTCAAGCCAAATTCCATTTCCCAAGTGTACGAAGGGCTAATTAATTGCTATTAGCAATTCCTCTAAAAATGGTCTAGCCAATTAATTAAAGTTTGATTTTGAAAAATCTTAGGATAGGTGGGGAGGATAGAATATCAAGATATAGTCAAAATGAACTCATGACATCGCTATTTATGAATAAATGATTTTTATTTGGTATGTTAAGAATCAAGGAAGCCACTCTGTTGGCTTTGAGAGGCAGAAAGAGAGAGAGAGTGAGAGTGTGCAAGCATGCTTGTGACAGAGATGAGGAACCTAGAAAGCCTCATATTTTTCAGTTTAGGATTTGTCTTTGAGATGCAATCATTTTGACCTTCAGTTATTTCCGACTAGTACTCCAAGTCTCTCTAAGTAATGCCTTCAAGAGTCATCTCCAGGAGCCCTTGGAACAAAGGAACAATTAACTGAAATTCCACCAGATGGCAATATTTGGAAAGCCATTCAGAGAGGTCTCAAAGCTACAAGCTATTATTGTTCACACAGAATAGTCTCACAAAGTGTGGTGTGACATCCTATATTTCATCAAAGGTGCTCTAAATATCTTTTATTTTACTCCTATTTCTCCACAGCATCAAACATTTTTACTTAAAAAAAAACAGTGTGGGGGGGGGCGTATTAGTTTTCTTCTTTTTACAAGAATTCTGGAATGATAAAATTAGAAACCTCATTCTTAAACAGTAATTCTCCAAACAGCAATGGTGAATATTAAAAGCTCAAATCAATGAATAATATACCATATTTGTTTTGGGGCCTCATTGTAATAAATGCTATGACTGGTGGTCATTTTAAAAATATTTGCAAAGAGAAACTGAAATTCTACTACTTAAAGGACAATAACATTTTAAGAAGTTGTCTTGATATTAAAATTTGCAGGTATAAAATTTACTGTATTGACTTGGAATAATTAGGGTTTTTTTAGTGGATGAATAGATGTTTTCCCCTTTTACTCTAGTGAAAGTGGAAATATGGAGCACTTTTGTAGGCTGAGGTGGGCGGATCATCTGAGGTCAGGAGTTCAAGACCACTCTGGTCAATTTGGCAAAACCCTGTCTCTACTGAAAATATAAAAATTAGCTGGGCGTTGTGGCACATGCCTGTAGTCCCAGCTACTCGGGTGGCTGAGGCACGAGCATCACTTGAACCCAGGAGGCAGAGGTTACAGTGAGCCAAGATCGCACCACTGCACGCCAGCTTGGGTGACAGAGCGTGACTCCGTCTCAAACAAACAAAGTGGAGATATGGTACCCTGCATGGTGCCCCAACAGCTGGAATATTCGGGGGCCAGAGCAGGCTCTAGAGCAGAGTTGGGACAGGGGTCAGTGGAAAGGTACCCGAGGGCATTAGAAATAGGAAGAACCAGGAAGAGAAACCGTTGAAGCTTTCTGTGTCTGCAGCCACAGATCATGAGTGCCCTTTGAAAACTGATCTTGTACTGCTAGCCCTTATAGTAGATGGTCCATATGTGGGGTCTGTCTGGGACAGTCCTGATTCAATTCTGTATTCCTGGAAAATAGTCTAGGTAGCACCCCCTTTCACCCTCCAAACGTTTCATTTTGGATGATAAATTATATGATCATCCTATCTTGCAGGGTGGTGAAGAGAAAGTAATAAGAAAAGGTGGCCCATTACCTAAATAGGGTGTCACTTTATAAATCTCCTTATATATGGGGTATGGGACAAACGTGTATTTAAAGAGCCAAATTGTAAATATTTTTGCCGTGCTGGTCATATAAATGTTAGTCACAACTGTTCAACTCATTGTAGTGTGAAAATAGCCAAAGATAATACATAAAGAAATGGCCTTGTCCAGGCACCGTGGCTCACGCCTGTAATCCCAGCACTTTGGAAGGCCGATGTGGGCGGATCACAAGGTCAGGAGATTGAGACCATTCTGGCTAACATGGTGAAACCCCGTCTCTACTAAAAATACAAAAAAAATTAGCTGGGCGTGGTGGCGGGAGCCTGTAGTCCAGCTACTCGGGAGGCTGAGGCAGGAGAATGGCATGAACCTGGGAGGCGGAGATTGCACCACTGCACTCCAGCCTGGGTGACAGAGCAAGACTCGGTCTCAAAAAAAAAAAAAAAAAAAAAAGGACTACACTTGGCCTGTAGACCATCATTTGCACATCCCTGATAGATAACAGAAATGGGTTAAGGTGGTCAGAAATGGCAGAGAACCAAAGAGACAACCATCATTAATCCCTCTCCCTTAATCCCATCCATTAATCCCTCTCTCTATATCCCTTCTGGGTTGCACCCTCCTTTATTTAACCCTTTCAGGAACTAGTACAGTTGACCCTTGAACAGCATGGGTTTGAACTGCACGGGTTTACTTATAAGTGATTTTTTTTCAGTAAATGCAATCGAACCTCCATATCCGCGGATTCCAAATATGCAACCAAAAGTGAACTGAAAATATAGTATTCATGGTATGTGAAACCCATGGACAGCCAGCTTTTCATATCACTTGATTCAGTGGGCCAATTGGGAGACTTGAGCATGAATGGATTCTTGTGGGGGAAGGAAGGTTCTGAAACTAATTCCCTAGGGAAAACTGTATTGCTCATTTCCTCGAGTGAGTGATCCTATCTGCTGTTAAGTAGTTCCTGAGATTCCTTTACTGGGTGTCACTTCTTGTTTCTCATCCAAATTTGTTCCTGCACCACACACAACATGGTTGTACTTTATACCTCATGATGTATAAGACTCAGGTGTTACCTGAGTCTTAGCGTTAAATACTGAAGCAATAGTTCATTGGTAGGCAATTTAATTTTATGCTTTGATCCTCACTAAACAGTTATCTTTGGGAAATATAATCAGTCACATTAAGGAAAAGTTCATGTTAACTATAACAAATGTTTTATCATATTAATGAAAAGTAACATAATACATTTAAAGAAAACCTTGGGGAGAAAATCACCCATAACAACACTAGCATCCTAAATTAACTGTTTTTCTATTTTTGCATATTTGGTCTTCTTACAGGCATTCCTAATGTTCCACAGTGCATATCATAATAAGCGTGAACTTTGTATTTTACTTACTGTGAGTCACAGCATCTTTTACTTTCATGGGTCATCAGAACTGTCATTGGAATAGCAGTATAATGTTATATCAACATGCCATAGTATATGCTTTAATTCTTACTATCTTCCCATTTTCTCTATAAAAAATGCTATGCTAAATTTCTATACAGATCTAATTGTTGGTTTGGTTTGGTTTGGTTTGTGTCTATTCATCTATTTTCTAAGGTCACAATTCCAGAAGTGAGATTATTTGTCAAGGATAGACCATTTTTATGACCCTTAATCTAGTTTACCGTATTTTTCCCAAAGATTTGGAACAATTTACAGACATTTGTAGTTTTAGGCTACCAGTTTCACCATAACATTTTCAGAAAGCATTTAATTTATTCAATAGCATTTGCTGAATGACTACTAACTGTAAAGCACTGTGCTGAGTGTTTTGGGGTGTATGTGTGTATATGTGTGTGTATATGTATATATATACACATATACGTATATATACATATACGTATATGTGTATATATATACACACACACACATATATATATATATGAAAGATGTGCTCATCCTACTTTTATTTTGTGCCTACTATCAGCTAGGTATTGTAGTTTTTCAAAGGTGAGCAAGAGATAACTTCTATCTCAGAGCTTTTGATTTTACTGGGGAACTAAGATATATGTAAATGACTGTAATAAGAAAATGAGATGTACCATAGGAGAAATACAGTTATAATGTAATGGGAGTTTGGGGAGGGGGAGGTAGAGATGACATCTGAGCTGAGCCATGAGGGTCAGTTGGTTTGGAATGCTCAGGGATCATGAGGTTAGCTATTCATTCCATAAACATGTATTGATCACCAACTCTATGCCAAGTATTATGGTAAAAGCTAGGTATATAGAGGTGACCAAGGTAGAGCTCTTAAAGCATACTATCTAATGGAGTAAATAATCTTTTTTAAAAAATCAGTATAAGGGTGGTAAGCAGGCTAGCTTGCCTGGCAGAGGATTCACAGGGTTAGGGATGAATGCTGGTTTCCTCTGGAATGAAACTTTTCCATGGCTTCTCTTTCGAAAGACACAGCCTTCATCATCAGTTATTGTGTCAGAATCTGTGGGACACCTGCTTCTGGAGGTTTGAAGGTTTTGAAGTTTCTTGTAATTGCACTTGTACTGACCAACATTCTAATTAAAGCTAGCCTGCACTGACAGTCCCCCCAGTGAGTACATTTACTGGGAATGCACAGAGGATAGGCCTGGGATCAGTGAGACGTACAACTTGGCCCTCACCAGATGATGATGGAAGTAAATCACTGAGAATTGTAGGTTTCATTTGTGTTTTGTCTTTAAAACAACTGGAAGGAACCTCATTGATAATCTAATCCAAAATCTCATTTTACAGATGAACGTTCTTAAGTGAGGAGAGGTTGAGTGACTTTTCTAGGGTTAGACAGTGGCATTACCACAGCACCAGAACCTTCACTTCTGATTCTTCTTGTTCTATGGTCACTTCTTTAATTAGCCCTGCCTCATCTATACCATAGAGGTAGTAAGAATTAGGACTAGATTAACCTAAGCATCCCTTGTATACATAAAAGCAATCAGATAATTTTTACCTATCTCATACCACAGTAAAAATTTTTTTAATTTATAATGTTTAACTAAAATTTTATTTAGGCCAGATATGGTGGATCATGACTGTAATCCCAACACTTTTGGAGTCTGATGCTGGAGGATCACTTGAGGCCAGGGGTTCAAGACCAGCCTGGGCAATATAGCGAGAC